GAGTTAGCTCAAGTTAGTTAGAATTGTGGTCTCTTGTTACATTCCTGCGACATGTGGTTTATTGGTGACGTGCCGCTTTACCACGGTGGAGAGAGAAGCAGGCCTCGGCGCCTGACGCTGAAACTGATGCGGCGCCGCGAGGGGCGATTCGTGGGTGAAAATGTGGCTCGAAGTGTGGAGCGCGGGGCGGGCGCTGACTATGCGAAACCATCGCGCAGTGACAGGTGCGCCTCGTTTCGCCTTCGCCGTTTTCGTTCTTTTTCGGCTTGTTCTTTCGCTTGTTCTTGCTTTCGCGCTGCTTCGGTCCGCTGCGGCCGAGGTGGGCGCTCGGCCATGCTGGCTCCATTTGCGCTGCTTGCTTCAGCGGTCGTCCCGTCTCCCCGTTCCCCTCCACCTTCAGTTGTGCATCCACGCGCACCGGGTGGGAGAAGAAAACAAAAAAGGCGATGAGTAACCCAGCTAAAGCAGTGGGCATGCGCGCTGGAGCGGTGGAAGAGCTTTTGTTTGAGAAGCCCGTTGTGAGGTGAACAAGAATAAAAGTGGCGAGTCTTTGAAGGCGAACTGTTGCTCGTATGCCGACTCTGCGCTGGATACTGTGCTCACCCCTTTCATCGCACATGTGCCGGCCGCGCAGGCGGCTACGAGGTTCAGCTTACCGAAACCAATCGGTGAATAGACTAACTAGCCCCGTGTTCCATCCTGCCTTGCGTCTTCGTCCTCTGAGCTAGCTATAACCCCCATCACGATGTTCAACCGAATACGAATTCGCCCGAATGTCGACTGTTTCCAACTAGCGGTGATCGTCAACTACAAGAGTGCGCTGCGAGCATCTTGTGCGAATCTCGTCGTATAAAGCTAACCAGGTGCAGTGATTACGGTGTGTATGCAGTTCTTAGAGGGAGCTGTAGCAGTGCTGCTTATAAACTCGGGGTAGTTGGAGGTTTTTGAATGGCGTTGGGGTTAACCGCAATCGTGTGCTTCTCTTGCGGCTGCCGCTCTTTGGGCCCGGTTACTCAGTCAATTCAGCCCCTCCGTGGCCAGCAGCTTCCCCCATCGCTTCGCAGTGGTTTCTTGCGTGTGGGCGATATGGCATGATTGGCTGACATGGCCACGTGACGTCATATAGTGGGACCTTGGCTGGACACCATTGGCAGCGAGAGGAATAAGCTTTCCATCTGAAATGTTTGCGCAGACACACTAGAGATGCCGACATTTCAGATGGATATGTTCCAATTAGGCCGAATCGCAGTTTTGCTTAAGAATAAGCAGAACGATGAATTTCGCTGAGGCTATATGCCAATCAGTATAGCTGTGTCGGCTTGGTTTTGTCTCGACAGACAGCTGGCTTATTTGGTGAATAGTTTCAGCAAACAACGCAAAAAAAAAGTAGGAGATGGTTTAGACTCCAACCAAAAGTATTGAAGAAACCCCACGTTTAAAACTGACAGAGGACAGCCCATAACATCAACCGCTCTCTCGGAACCCTTCCCCCAGTGTATACACACGGACTGCGCTCCACGGCAAAACGAGAGAGAGAGAGGGGGGGGGGTCATTTGAAAACGCCGCTGCTATGTAGTCTACGCAGTCACCCCTGAGAAAGGAAGCAAGTCGGTTTCGAAAAGTCTGGTTTCTTCAAATCATTTGGTTGTAGCCTAAATCATCTCCCACTTTCATACCCAACCAGACAGACTTCTGTCGAATGTTTAAATTCAACGCAAAAAAAAAAGTGATCGACAAACATGAGCGTACGTTTTCTCGGAGTTAGTACGAGTGCATTGTCTCGCGGTTAAGTGAGCACCGATTGCGCGAATTGCACACTACGTTCACACGCCTTTCTGGACGAAACGATCTGTATATCGAAGGATTACTTGCGTTTAGGCTCGCGATCTTGTGCGCTATATACCGTGCAACAAACTTACCTGTATGAGTGTAATGAACTGTATATTTGGTTACCCCGAGGGACCATTGAACCCATGACATCTTCTAACGCATGGCTTTGGCCATTTGCGGGCTGTCACTGTATCTGTCATGAGGTAAGAATTCAAATATATGGAAGAGACAAAACAATTTTTTGGAATTCCGACTCTTCGTCAAACGAGCGCACGACAGGCGACATAACTTTGCTAAGTGTCCTTCGACAGCCGGAGCCTGCAGCGGCCACCCAAGGACACTGTTGCACGACCGGAAAAAAAAAAGTTCACATTTTGTTGTACGACGCATCCCCACACCTAACGAGTAGATATACTATCATCATCATCGCCTGACTACGCCCACTGCAAGACAAAAGCCTCTCCCATGATTCGCCAATTAACCCGCTCTTGTACTTTCTGCTGCCACGTGGTGTTACCTGCGAACTTTTTTTTCTCATCGGCCCACCCAACTTTCTGTCTCCCCTTCGTTTGTTTGCCCTCTCTGGGAATCCAGTCAGTAACAAGGACCAGCGGTTATCCTGCCTACGTGCTATATACGTGTCCGGCCCACGTCCATTTCTTCTTCTTCTTGATTTCAACTATATTATACCTTTAACCCCGGTTTGTTCCCTGACTCACTATGCTCTCTTGTCTCTTAAGGTTACACCTATCATTTTTTTCTTTCCATCGCTGGCTGCGTTGTCCTCAATTTAAGCGGAACCCTCTTTGTAAGCCTTTAGGTGTCTGCTCTGTATGTAAGTACAGGCAAGATGCAGCTGTTGTACATACTTTCCTCTTGATGGATAGTGGCAAACTACCAGTCATGATTTGAGAATGCATGCCGAATGTGCTCCATTCCATTTTTACTCTTCTAGTTACTTCAATCTCGTGGTTCGGCTCCGCGGCTATCACCTTTCCTAAGTAGACGTAGTCTTTTACATCATCAAGTGCACTATTACTTATTTTGAAGCGTTGTTCTTTTCCGAGGTTGTACATTACTTTCGTTTTCTGCAGATAAATTTTAAGACCTACCTTTCTGCTCTCCTTGTGTAATTGAGTAATCAGTAATTGCAGTTCGTCCTTAGAGTTACTCAGTAATGCAATGTCGTCGGCGAAGCGCAGGTAATCAAGGTACTTTCCATTAACTCTTATCCCTAACTTTTGTCCTTCTAAACCTATGAAAACCTCCTGTATGCACGCAGTAAATGGCAATGGCAAGATTGTATCCCCTTTGTCTTGCACCTTTCTTTATTAGTATTCTGTCGCTTTTTTTTTTTTATGGAGCACTATGGTGGCAGTTGATCCTCTGTGGATATATTCCAGGATGTTTACATATGCTTCGTCGGCGCCCTGATTCCGCAGTGTCTGCATGGCTGCTGGTATCTCTACTGAATCAAACGCCTTCTCGTAATCTATGAATGCTATGTATAGTGGTTGGGTGTATTCTGAGCATTTCTCGATAACCTGATTGATAGTGTGAGTGTGGTCGATTGTTAAGTAGCTTGTTCGAATCATGTTTGATCATTTGGTTGATTGAATTCTAATGTTGTCTTAATTCTGTTAGCAACTATCTTTTCTAAATAGCTTGTATACGACGGAGAGCAAGCTGGTCGGCCTGTAAATCAAGTCCTTCTCGTCCCCTTTCTCAAGGATTAAGACGTTGTTAGCATTCTTCCAAGATTCTGGTACCCTCCCCGTCAGAAGACACTTTGTAAACATGGTGGCTAGATTTTCTAACACAATCTGTCCTTTGTCTTTCAGCATATTTTACTTGATCCTCACCAGCAGCTTTGCCTCTTTGCGTTCCCTCCAAGGCTTTCCCGACATTTGTCATTACTGGTGGGGTGTCATCTAGATGCATCTGGGTCACTATAGTTTTTACATTATGGTCGTGGTGGTCCCGACTACCGTACTGGTTTCTTTAAAACACCTCCACTACGTTAACTATCATATCCATGTTGGTAGTTACTCTGCCTTCCTTGTGCCTTAGTGCATACATCTGTGTTTTGCATATCCCAAGTTTCCTTTTCATCGCTTTGACGCTTGCTCCTTTCTTTAGAGCATGTTCGATTCTCTCCATGTTATACCTTCTTACATCGGATACCTTACGCTTATTAACTTAGGAAGCTCTGCCAGTTCTATTTTGTCTTTGGTGTTTGAGGCGTTCATGCTTTGACGTTTCTTAATGAGGTTCTTCGTCTGCTGGGACAGCTTGCTAGTGCCCTGTTTAAGTACCGTACCTCCAGCTTCCATTGCACATTCCTCACTCATACTCGTCAGATTATCATTCATTTATTGCGTCAATGCTAAGGCCGGTACCTCGATAAGAGCCGAGTATCTGTTCTGAAGCGAGATTTTGAATTATTGTACTTTTCCTCTCGTGGCTAGCTTATTAATTGGCCTTTTGCGTATCAGTTTCTGTCGTTCCTTCGAGTCCAAGTGAACTAACTCGCCACCCTGTGATTCTATGATCACTGCATCGTACCTTGCCAAGCACTTCCACATACTGCACGATGCCGAAGTGTGCACTCAGTCTAAAGTCTATTTCGTTCTTACTTTCGCCATTAGGGCTCATCCATGTCCACTCATGGTTCACTCGTCTTCGTTAGAAGGTATTCAGAAACCGTAAATTATTGCGTTAAGGTATTCAGAAACCGTAAATTATTGCGTTCCGCGAATTCTACCAACTCCCCTCTGGCATTTCTAGTCCCGATCCCATAATCCCCTACTGCCTGGTCTACATCCTGCTTCTTTTTTTACCTTCGCACTGAAGTCGCTCATCATGTATAGTGTACCGTGGGTTCACCTAACTCATTGCCAATCCCACATCTTCATATATATTACATATCCCCTTTAATTATCTAAACTTTTATAGTCAGTCGTACCTGCACCGTTGCTGTTTTAAGTGCACGGTTATCGTACATGTGTTTTGTGGTAAGGACCGCTTGATGTTGCATCAAGAGGGGCTGGGTGTTGCGACGGAACCCAGTATACTTGCCTATAACGGTTACTTTTCGCTGTCTTTCTTTTGAACTGTTCTTCCAAAAGTGTTGCCTGTATAGCGTTCACTTTGCCCGTTGTGCATCGCAGTGCGCTGCAGCAGCAGCAGCCTGCGTCGGCGCCGCTGACGCCGGCGCTGAGCAACGGCGCGGTGTCCGCCCGCCTGTGGCCTCCTCCGCCGTCCGTGCCGGTCGCCGCGGACTCGGACTTGCTGCGGCGCCGCAAGGTGCACAAGTGCGACTTCGAGGGCTGCCAGAAGGTCTACACCAAGAGCTCCCACCTGAAGGCGCACAAGCGGACGCATACAGGTAAGGAATATACGCGTGGGGGTTCGTTTGTAACACCGCTCCGTTTCGGTCCATCTGCGTCCTCTGCAGTACGATGGAGACCATTTTCTGTATGCACGAGCGAAGATTTGTGGAGTGTTGAGTGACGTCACGTATTTCGACGGCTTCTGCTCAGAGCCTACATTTTTTGTTTGTTGTTGAAAATGATTGTGCTTCTAGGGAGGGAGCGACCTACCACGACAATTTTTCTCGGGTTCATGTTGAGCCGACATGCGGTTCAAATACGAAACAAAAGGAAATTCTTTGAAGACAATGCGCCCACTCTGCGGGTTAAGTGTGTTTCGGCGCGAAATATAAAGAAAGGAAATGTTTTCCCTTACGTTTGCTGTTCGGATGACGATAATATGGGGGCGAAATTAACAACGGAAACTTGATATGTAGTGACTTTGCAGTAATCCATGTAAGACCAATTCGCCCAGAAACGAGCTCTGCTAGCATAATTTATCGGTTTAAAGTGATCGTACGAGTTCATTTAGTGTCCGCCTTGAGTTTCGATCTGTACTTGTTGAAGGGACGCTAAATTTGGGATATCCCAGAATAACGAACGCGGATTAAGATGCGATTCTAGGTGGCTCATTCTGGCTATAGTTGCAGTTTCATAGGGAGCATTGAAGCAGTTTCGCTTCTTCCATTTCAGTACGCGCAGAGCTATGGAAGCGTGCTTCCTTTCTTTCGCGTGTCGCGTTGGCGCCACTCGGTAACAAAAATATTTTCACCCGCGGTGCAGAGAGCGAGTCCAGACGCGAAAGGGTTAACGTTCGCGCACGTCGCGCCAGCGCCGACTTGTAGAGCCTACGCGGATTTGACCTCCGTGTCAGCGGTATTTAATCGCCCTCGAGTAATGCACGTATAGCGGTGTGTGTGCTCTCGTGATGCGCTGAATCAACTGTGTGCTGCGCCGCGGTGCGTATAAGGTGTGCGAACTTGGGTGTGCGTGCCCCGTGACCCACCTCATCTCCTTCCTGCTGAGGTGACGGTGACTGGGCATTGTGGACGGCGGTAACGCTGGCGCGGTGCGTATAGTATTATAATAACGCGAGGTGATTTGCATGCAATAACTTCATTTGCGCCGTAACCGTACTTTCGCAGCAGCAGCAGCAGCACAACAAAGCTATATTAAGCGCGCTTTGTTTGGAACACTTTGGGATGCACTCCCTGTTTCATCTTTTACAGCGGGCGAGTATTAGTTTGTCCGTAGGCGGACACTAACTCCCCCTTTTTCGCCGCAAATTACTGGGAAGTAGGTTACGCCGCGCTTAAATTTTCGCCGCGGCTAGCTTATAGCCAGATGCGTATACGAAGAACAAAGCGCGCTTGATGGAATGAATGGCCTATAGGGGCGACGCTGTGCCTTTGCTGTGTGAAGCGCAACGCTCTGGGTTGTGCGATTTACGTCGCTGTGTACGGAGAGGAGCTGTTCAATGAATGTGTAATGAGAGGGTCCATTTCAGCGGGGAGTTCGACGAACGTTGCAGAGAACCCTGGATGTTCCGAATTAAAAAAACAAAAACAAAAACAGAGACCTCTTCCGTACGCAACAATCTCCTCGTGGCTTCCGGTTGAGGTTTGAAGCGTTACACCATGTTTTATTGATTGCGCGAAGTGGCACAATCTTGGTGGTCGTCGATGTTGTGTGAATCAGACGCGTATACTGCCGAAATTTTCGTTATCCGTTCTATCCTTTCCCGCCCTCTGTAGTTGATCGCCTTGCATTTTGAACGTTCATATATGTGGCCCGAACTATACACAATTGATGGGACTAACAACACTCGCTAGTATTCATTCTCCGTGTCTTCTCACAAAACGCATCGCCTAACAGGCAGGCAGTCCACTATATAGTCGTCGACCTGCCGGTATACTCTCGCTAACAGCTTGTCTGATCGATTGATCATTGTTATCAGCGGTGGCGGCGCGACCGCCGCTCGGGCTGCTTCGCTCGTATATCGAATCGCCGTCGCTGTTTACCCAAAATCCTGTCAGCTCTTGGGCCGTTATAGGGCTAGCCATTTACTTGGCCCAAAAAGTGGCTGGGCTGCGCCAACAACGAGCCCCGTGGTGCCTCCTCCTCCCTTCCATACCAGCATGCATAGCGCCTCTAATCGAGTACATATACGGCGGCGGCGGCCGTAATTGCGAGCAGCGGGCACTTGGGCGCGTAATTGATGCGGCCGTTCGCATGCATGCGACGCGAGCGCCAGGAAACGGCGGCGGCGTTTGCGTGGGCGTCAGCCGCGCTTTGCCGGGGCGATGCCTGGCCGTGTAGTATATACGCCGGGCTGTGTGCGAAGAAGGCGCACCCGGCCATTGTCTGCGCGCCGACGCGGAATCATCCCCCGCTAAACAATTTCCGCTCTTCCTTCCCGCTGCACTTCCCCCCCCCCCCCCGGGTCTGCAGAGGTCTCCCGCGCTTATTAGCACCGCCTGGACAGCGAAAGACGTAGAAGTCTTGCGCCTCTTCCTCCCCTTCTTCTGCTTATCCTGTTTTGCGCGGTGTGCCGAGTTGGTTAAGCGACGCCTTGCATGCAGTCGGCGCACGTAAAATGTGCGGAATGGTACCAGATGCGCGCATATATATGCTTGTGCGCGAGTTTCGTGTTCGCGGCGTGGGGGGGCGCTCCACGAGACGACTTGAATGGAAGCTCACTGATATTCCCGGCACGCGGCCACTCTGGGAGCAAAAAGGAGTGCGCACGAAATCGCGCAGAGTCGAGGAAAAATCTGTTCGGCCACATTTTTACCCAAGATGTGTGGCATATCGTTCGCGCTTGTCTTCCGAGTCGGCCCATCGCCGTCGATGTTCTCTTGCAGGGAGTTGGGTCTGAGTTATCTACACGTTCGCATACAATTGTTTGCGGCTTTTGGGTCATTGCTGCGCTCGTATATTCGAAGTGAGCGGGGCCATTTCGGGGACTGTCATTATCCGTCAAGCGTGAGTAGTCCAGTATTTGCCTATCGTAGACCTGTATGTTTGTTCCGTTTTATAACGATTAACTCCGTGGGCGTTGCTTTAGTGTCGTCTAGATAGCTCGTGCATGTTTCTAAGTTCTAACGAGTCTTTAACAAGTTTTCACTCTGGTATTCAATTTACCCTGCGCCATCCTTCCAAGGCAATTAACTTCCTGGAGGCGACAGTACTTAGTGCTGCAGGAAAGTTAAAGACGACGCTTACAGGAAACCAAGAGGTACAGCCAACGATACCTAGATTACACTGTTCATCACCTGCGACACTGCAAGCGAGGAATTTTCGTCGGAGAGGTGAGGCTCAAGCAGCCTAAAAGAAACATTAGTTGAAATTACCCGCAAGACGACCCAAACAATGTCTACAAGGAAGCACGTAAACTAGACATGAAAACAACACTATAGCAATGAAGACTCCCCTGTAGCACCCATTTTTACTCGCACGATTCGTCACGGCGCTTCCCGTATCCACACGCAGCTGCCCTCTCCCCCTCCCCTACTGGGGTGGAGGAGAAGGCACGAAGCATATACAGGAAATCAGTTCTGTAGTCTCGAAGAAGATACGCTTGTCGAAGCGCCGGCTCGAGCACATAACCCCTGTCTTTTTGTTTGTTTTCTTATCGCAATCTTCTATCTTCCCATACCTGCCGTTTCTCTGGACTGTTGCGATTCTTGGTGAGCAGACTTGCAGACTGGTCGAACAGCTGTCGCCGTGCACTTATTCCATTATCTCTCGGATATTCCATTATCTCTCGGATAAGCGTGTTGCGCGTTTGCTCGCCGCTCTGACTTATAAACATAATATAAAGGAAAACGATATAGCAGTGGTGATGAAACCATTACAGACGTTCCTTGAAGCAACTCCGCGTATTTCAAAAAAGAAAGAAAAGAAAGCAGGCCAGTCCACCAAGCTTTTACAACCTCTGCAGAAACGTTTAACATGGAGGTTTGGTGATGGGGCGAGAAGAGTACTTCGAAATCGATTATGTAATCTTGACTTACTGTCGCTGAGGTTCAGACGCTAAACGCCAGGAGAGAGAGGAAAATGAACTTCGTTAAGAGCCATAAGACGAAATCTGCAGCTATAAGTTTTGTATTAATGTGTAACTCCATTTTGTTCTGTCAAATGAATTAACGCTTTACCAGCCCATAGTTTTTTTTTTTTCTGATGTTGGCCGCCGCGTCTTCTGTTTAAATTTTAAATGTCCCCGGGTGATCAAATAAAGTTATGCGGAAACCCTTTTTGCAGTCGCGTTCGTAGTCTGGAACGACGAGTCTTGCGACACGGCAAGTATACAGCCAGTGTCACCAGTCGTGCAAGGGACACAATTTAGAAGTCCGAATTCGCGTTGGTGTGAAGGGACCGGCAGGGCCACACGTTCGTTCGCGCTCGTCGGTAACAGGAAAAAGAAACTGTTTTGCTAATGGAATTTTATTGCGGCGACCTTCGTTCGAGATTCTTTGGAAGCACCATTTCGTGACACGACGAGTCGGGGCGTGGTGGGCGCATGCCCGCCTTATGGCTTTTATCTTTTTTCCTCCCCCTCTTCCTTTTTTTCTTGCTTTATCTCTCTCTCTCTCTTTCCTTCCTTCCTTCGGCGAGCTCTGGCCTCTACGCGTTGTCGATACGTCACGCCTACGCACTTGCTGTTGCCACTAGGAGCAATGTGGGGCGTCGAATGTGCTCAGGGGGAAATATTAGACATGGACTAAATGCTCAGATTGCTGCTCATTGTTAGGCGTGCGTGCATGCGTGCCCGCCCGTGGGCTCAAATTTCAGTTTTCCGCGTTAACTTCCAAACACTGCTTAATCAGAAATAATAATAATAATAATAATAATAATAATAATAATAATAATAATAATAATAATAATAATAATAATGTCGGTGATATTTCGATAGAGAGAAAAAAAAAGACGACGGATCTCGCCTTCGGATCGTTTTCGGCGAGTACATAAAATAGGGCTGTCAAAACTCATCCCAGCCGGCGGGCCGCAGTCGCAG